GATAGCCTTTCTTTTTTTTTTTTTTTTTTGAAACAAGGTCTCCCTTTGTCACCTGGGCTAGAATGCAGTGGCATCATCATAGCTCACTAAAACCTCGAACTCCTGGGCTCCAGTGATCTCTTGCCTCAGCCTCCCAAGTAGCTGGGACTACAGGCAACACCACGACACCTGGCTAATTTTTCTAATTTTTTGTAGAGATGGGGTCTCATTCGTTCTTGCTCAGGCTAGTCTTGAACTTCTGGCCTCGAGCAATCCTCCCACCTTGGCCTTACCAAAGTCCTTCTAAAGTGCTAGGATTATAGGCATGAACCACTGGGCCCAGCCTCTTAATTCTTCTATACTTTAACATTTAAGTTAATGTAACTTTTCATAAAAGTAGCAACATGATCTCTTCAAAAGTTGCTTTCAACTGATTTTTCCAGTGGGATATACTATAAAAAGTAACAGAGGTAAATAGCTTAAGGGACCAGTTAATCTCTTGCCTTAAAAAAAAAAAAAAATCCTGCCACTGATTTAGTTGAACATGTACATATAACTCCTTCTCTATTAAAAAGTAATGTGATGTCACATTAAGAAATAATTGAAATATATTCGATTTCTTTTAATTATAAATTTAAGAGCAGTTTTTAATGCCTAATTGTTCAAGAATTCTCTTCTCTAATAGATATTTATTGACATACAGATTGCGAGGTCAGGACTTCTGTCAGTCTTTGTTCATTACTGTATCACCAGTGTCTAGCATAGTGCCTGGCAAAGGCTACATGCTTGCTTGGTGTTCTTTGAATGACTAAATGAACATGTGAATGAAGGAATGCCTACTTTTGTTTGAGTTGTAAGAGATCATAAGAAATTTGACCATTTTTGATTATAAAAGCAATGTCATATGGTTCAACCTTAACATAAATCAAGTGTTGGGAATAATAATGATCCAGAATGATTTTATACCCTCCCTCTCAGAGACAGTGTTACTGCATTTACAGAGGTTAAAGTTGTAAGCTCCAAAATCAGACTGGGTCTGGGATCACAGCCAGCCTGATCCCTTCATTTCTGAGCTGTGTGATCATGGGCAGGTTACTGCCTCTGTGTTCTCCATAAAGTTTAGATGACAATTTACTTCATGGAGCTAATGTGGATTTTGAGATACTACATATGAAATGCTCTACACATTGCATGGTACCTAGCAAACACTCCATACATCTTAGGTATTGTTTCTAATATTGATATTATGGAAAATTTGGTATGTGCCAAGTTCTGGGTTGTAGTCTTTGCTTTCTGTGAGTTGGCAGCCTAGTGAGGAAGATAAAAGTTGCAGTATGATCCTTAAGTTCTCTGGAGGCATGAGTACTCTGGAAGGAGGGATGCTATACCCAGAATGGCAGTCATGGAAAGCTTCCTGGAGAGGGCTGTCTGTGAGAGCTGAAGAGCAAGTAGGACTCAGATAGGAGCGGATGGGGGAGAGAGAGGGATGGGGACAGTGCTGAGACGCAAAGAAAGTAGCACAGGCAAAGACCTGGGTGTGAGAGAATGCGATGCCTTCCCTTCAGGGAGTAGCTTGGTTTGAGAGTAAGAGGAGCATGGAAGAGAGCACATGATGTGCATGGAGAAGTAGGCTGGGGTCAGGTGTGGAAGGGCCTTGCTCAAGAGCCAGCAGGGTTGGCCTCAGATTTGTGCTTGAGAGAGATCATTCAGAAGTGGAGACAATTGATTGTGTTGGGACAGGATGAGAAAGAGGAGACAGCTAAGAGGCTGGTGCAGTAAACTATGGGAGAGATGGCTGCCCTGGGTGACAGTGGAACCAGAACCTCGGAAAATCCCACATCTAGGAGGGACTGAAGACCTGTCACTTGCCAAGGGCTTTGTTAAGAACATTATAAATTCTAAATTGTGCAAGTACATTGTAAATTCTACAGTTGTTGAACTTGCAATGAAGGGTTTAGTGAATAGGTTACAAAACAGAAAACAACCCACATTTAGTCTTATTCCAGAATCCCTTCTATTGCCTGTACAGATTACTATAGACTATTCTTTGGCATTGTGTGAGTAGTATTGCATTGTTTTCATTTGTGACTAAAATCCTTCAAAGGTGTTCGATAAAACAGTGGTCCCCAACCTTTTTGGCAGGAGGGACCGGTTTCATGGAAGACAATTTTTCCACAGACTGGGGATGGAGGCTGGAGGATGTGGTGCAGAGCTCAGGTGGTGATGCTCTGCCCAATTCCTAACAGGTCATGGACTGGTAATGGGCTATAGCCTGGGGGTTGGGGCCTGCAGGGATACAACATAAAAGTAATGCTGGTCCTCTAAGAGCCTTAGGACCTAGAGATCAGTAAAGAGTCAAATACCTAGAAACAAAGAAAATAGTCAACAAAATCACTCTGCCTAGGGAATGCTATTTTCATGTTGTTTTTTTTTTTTTTTTCTTTTTCTTTTTGTACCTAACCAGGGTAATGAGGAGAACCTCCTTTGTTCTCATAACCCTTGAGACCATACTGTGTTGTAAGATATTACATGGCTCCTGGTAGATGAGGCAGACCAGGGCCGTTCATTCAACAGATATTTACTGAGCCCCCACTAGGAATGAGGTGTAAAGCCATGGACAAAGCAGATACCGTCTCTGCTCTGTTGGAGCCTACATTCTAGATGATGAGATAAAATGGAATGTTGTATTGATGAAAATGGTAAAAATATTTTTTTGTTTCAAGTCCTTTTTAGATTAGGTGGTAGAAGTGAAAAAAATATCATGTATTTTTATATTCACATATATTTCTGACTTGTTTCCTGTATTATATGAGAGACAGTAGAGAAATATTATAAGGATTACATGAGTTAAAATATGAAAAGTGCTTAAGACATAGTAAATGTGTAATTTATGCTAGCTATTGTTATATTATGTGATCCTTGACTTCTTTTGGCATTCTTTCTTACTGATTCATGTAGATGATGACCTCTAGATTATCTCTAAAATCCCATATACAGTTTCCATCTAGTAGCCCTCATCATTGCATTGCCCAGACTACAGCAGCAGTCTCCTACCTAGTCTCTCTGTATTCTTCCACCTTTACCTTGTCCATTCTCCACCTTGTAGCCAGAGTAAAATTTATGCTTTTGTATTAGTTTCCTATTGCTGTTAAAAAAAAAAATTAATATAAACTATCTTAAAACCACATATTGTTATCTTGACAATTTTAGAGGTCCAAGTCTGAATTTAGTTTCATTGAGCTATAATCAAGGTGTTACACGGCTGTATTCATTCCTTCTGGAGGATTGGGGTGGGAGGTTTCTTTGCCTTTCTCCAAGTTCTAGAAGCCATTCACATTCCTGGGCTTGGGGCCCTGAGTAACTCTGACATCTGCATCTGTCATCACATCTCCTCCATTAACCCTTCTGTCTCCTCCTTTCATTTATAAAGGCCCTTTTGATTACATTGAACCTACCTAGATAATCCAGGGTAATCTCTCATCTCAAAATCCTTAATTTAGTCACATCTGCAGAAATCCCTTTTGCCATGTAAGGTAACATATTCACAGATTTCAGGACACCTTTCCCTTCAAGCTCCTTGCCTTGCTTACCTGACATGCACTGCTTGGATCTCAGTGCAAACTCCCCTCCCTTGGGGAACACCCTCTCAGCCTTCTCCATACTGGTCAACTACTCATCATACATGCTGTCCTGGACCCTTGACTTCTCCTTCATTGCATTTGATCACAGCTTGCAATTGTCGATTGGTGTTTTTATTTACTTTGTCTGATAGTAAGCTCTGGGCAGTGATTGCCTATTTCTGTTGTATCCTCTATGCTGATCATTTATTCAGTGCTCAATAAATATTTATTAAAAGGAATAGACTTAAAAGGCAGTGCACCATAAAGTAGCTCTTGGTTTTTTTCCCCAGTATAGTATTGTTACAGTTATTGTTATAGCAGAATAGGGTTTTGGATTGCAAGGATTTGTTCCATAACAAAAGGTAGACTGTTAATAACTAAGTGAAACAATACACTGTTAATTTTCATTTCTCAGTAAAAAAGTAGGAAGTAATTTTTATTCGGTAATTTTAAGGCCATTTTTCCATATCTTTAAAATGTTTTCAAGACTTAACTGTTCTAACATGAACATATAGAATCTCATAGGTTAAGACTTTTATTAAATGTTAAGTGACTTTATTCAGAGTTGATATCATGGGTCAAAGGTAGTTTTCCTGGTTGGGGCCTGTTGGCTGTAGAACAGTGAATCTACAATAATACTTGTCTCTGTTAACACTAGCGTTCAAGAGAAATCTGCCAGACTTTAATGCAGTAGCCACTTGATGGTGTGGACCACTTGTAGTTCAAAATATCAGCGGGTCCTTCTTTGAGAAAATGTCATACAACAGAAAAAAAAAAAACATTGCTTTATGTTTTGTATATAACTCAATAGAACAATTCCTTTACTACTTCATTAAATTGTAAGCTTTTCCATTTTACTTAAACATTATTTCTACAAACTTAATTATTATGATTTCCCCATTTAAGGTACATATTTTACCTTGATGTCGACAAGGCTTGTGTTAGATAAGTTTTTAGCTTTGATAGTATTCAAATGGTTGACTGCCAGCTCAATGAACTACTTGAAAGAGACAGTCAACTTTTGTAACTCAAAAGCGCTTTGAATTACGCTTATCCCATTGAGGAAAAAGTATTTAGAAAAATTTAAAAGCATATTCTTATTATAGTCTATTTCTCATACAATCTACTCATGTTCTAATTGTTCAAATTTAACTTAAGTAAAAAACTGACATCTGATAAATTTTTTGTATACTATAAAACACCATCTATAACTGTAGCGTGAAATGCTCATTCATTCTTTTTCATCAACCTCTTTACTGGATCTAATAAAAATGGGTAAAACTGACTTATTAACTTTTAGTTTTTAATCTCCCTATGTAAATATACTAGTAATTCAATTTTCTGTTATTAGCTTTGTCTAAGAACCAATTTATATGAAATGTACACATACTTTCCTTTTAGAGTATGTTGGATAAAGGACATTGTCGTGGCAGTAACTGGAGAGAACATCGAAGCAATGAACAGTATCATTCAGAAGTACCAGCATACGCGCATCTCAGTAGTTGAAGCTGGAGTAACCCGCCACAGGTCAATTTTCAATGGACTAAAAGCACTGGTAGAGGATCAGCCCAACTCAAAGCTGTGTAAGCCAGAAATTGTGATTATCCATGATGCTGTCAGACCATTTGTTGAGGAAGATGTCCTTCTCAAAGTTGTCATAGCTGCTAAGGAACATGGGGTAAGTATATTTTACTTCTGAGACTGGATAAAGGGGGCAAACACTATAATGTGGCTCATTTGCTGAATTTGATAGAATTGTTCTTAAATGTCAAATTACTTAAAATGGACATGAACTAAATATGTTACGGTAATTCATTTTAGGAACTTTATAGTCTTAATATTATAGACTGTGAGACTTCTGGAATTTATCTTTTGCGACAGTCATTTTTCATCATAACGTAACGAGCCATTTGGAGAAGAATGCAGTAATAATGGCATTAGAGTATAGTATAGATACCAATGGAAGGTTAATGAAAATTAAATATGCAGTTATATGAAAATGCCTGAGAAAGCTTTCAAAAGCATAGGATATATAATGAACAAATCTTGTTCATTGTACTCAATTTTGTGTTTTAAATTTTCAGAAGTAGTTTATTTTCTGGCACAAACAGCCACACAAGACTTTCACACCCCTTAAGGTGAATCATCTTGAGATTACAGAGAATTGTTTCCATTTCTGTTTCACCAAAATAAGCTACAGGATAGCAAAAGACCTATTTTCATCTCTAGAACATGTTTTACATGTGATTTAATAAAGCATATTAAGATATCCAGCAGTTATTTTTTATTGCTGATTTGTGGGAATTTCTATTAGACTGTCTAATTAAATTTTTAATTAAGTTTGTTAATCAGAATATAATTTGTAAGATTGAATGACATTATGTTTCTTAAAACAAATTTAAATTTTAATGAAATCTGTGGGACTTTCTGATTAGATTGAAGCTGGTTCAGACCAAAACTTTACAACTTATTTATTTTGAAGTAAACTTCAGAAATTTGGCTTCTTTTAGAAGATTGCCTTGTTTTTGTTGGTGTTAAAGGATTTTTTTAAAAAAGGTTAAAATCATGAGTTTCATATATATCCATATTCAGAATTTTTCTTAATAATGAGGGAACAACACAGATACTACAACTACTTCAAAATTGAATCTAGAGAAACACACATTTATATGGAATAAAAAGGTAAGATGAAATGAATTAAAAAACAAAGCTGGCTTTTCTATGGGGAGTCATTTGAACCTCCATTAGGATTCATCTGCGTGTTTACAGGCAAGAATTTTTTTGCATTGCTATCAGTTATCTTTGAAGGTTGTAACAGAGCTCAAAATTTAGATTCACCTAATCTGGAAGGGTCTGTTCTAAGCAGTAGTTCTCCATTGCAGACACCCAGAAACCTTTTGTTCTAAATTTTCTTATGACGATTAGGATAGTGTCCCAGTAGCCTCAGTTAAATCCAGGCACTACTTACTGCCAACTCTCTTACACTGTTCTGACTTGTAATCATAAAAACAAATGCAATTAATTGAGACTTGTACTAGTAGTTGAACTTCAGGTGGTGGGAAGTATGGCATCTTTTTAGTCATCAATAAATTGTAAAAGAATGATCTTAAATCAAATGCTACCCTATGACCTAAAAATTGCATTGACTTTCCTTAGAGCCACTTCACAGGCTGTGTTTTCCAGGCCTCTTTTTAACTCATTCTCTTTTGTTCTCTAAATAGTTTTCTATACACACCTTAACCGATTCTTATTTTTCTTCTTAGCTCTTAGTTTTCAAGTTCTACCCAAAGGTCCCTTTCAGATATGTCATTTTCTGAACAAGTTAGACTGTGACTGTCTCTGGTGTGTGTGTGTGTGTGTGTGTGTGTGTGTGTGTGTGTGTGTGTGTGTTGGGGGAGATTGTAGGATTATATATGCTAAAGATAACTAGTATTTTAACTAATGCTCTATGTTGGTTAATAAAAAAATAAATTAGAGATATATTGCCTTGAGACTAAGATGTCCAAGGCTGGCATTAAGGTTGCCTGCACATAAGAGCTCAAGAGTGTCACCAGGACCCCGTTTCTCTCTCTTGTTTGTATATATTATAGTCTCAGGATCTCTAGGGAGGCAAGATGACTTCCACAGGGCCAATAGCTAAATTCTTTCAGGGTTATTTCTCCTTTACTGATGATGGTGGTTTGGGTATAAAATTCTAAGTCTACGGTTGTTTTTTTTTTTTCCTACGGTTGTTTTATTTTTCTGTTTCTTTGACTGTCACTGTCTCTGGGCTTTTATGCTGCTTTTGAGTTTACTAAGCAATATAATTATATTCCTTTGAAAATAATCTGCCTTTTCTGTCTGAATGCTTTAAAGACAATTTCTTTTTCGAAGGTATTTAGTTTCTGATGTGTCTAGATATGGGAATTTTTCCCCCCTTGCTTTCGATTTATTGTCCTTTATGAACTTTGATTCATATGTTTTTATTCTAGAAAATTCTGAATGATTATCTGTACACTGATTTTCTGTCCCATTTATTTCACTCTCAACAACTTTTTTCCCTCTCCTATGGGTACTATATGTATGCCAGCCCCTCTTATCCAGCCTGCATATGTCCTAAGTTCTTTCATGTTTCTTTTTTGTATGTTACATCCTGGGTAATTTCCGTTTCTATGTCATTATTTTTTAGCGCTGTTTTTTTAGGATTTTTAAGGATTTTTAAAACCTTAATATTTTTCAATTCTTTGGAGCTCCATGATTTGTCTCCTGTTATTGATTTTTATGTTATCTTAATATCCGAACATAATATTTTATACACTATAGCTAATAGTACTTGGTAGTTCTCCAACTTTTCATTTTTGTTCACTTTTGCTCTTAATTTGTTTCCTCATTTGTTTTACAATCTCTTCCTTGACCCACTGGCCATTCAGGAGCATATTGTTTAATTGCCGTGTGTTTGTATATTTTCCATTGTCCCTCTTGTCATTGATTTCTAGTTTTATTCCATTGTGGATAGGGAAAATACCTGGTATGATTTCAGTTTTTTTGAATTTAAGACTTGTTTTGTGGCCTTATATATAGTCTATTTTGGGAATCATCCTTGAACTGAGGAGAAGAAAGTGTATTCTGCAGCTGTTGGCTTAGATGTTCTGTAAATATCTATTAGGTCCATTTGGTCTGTAGTGCAGATTAAGTCCAGTGTTTCTTTGTTGGTTTTCTGTCTGGATGATCTGTCCAATGCTGAAAGTGGAGTGTCGAGGTCTCCAGTGATTATTGTGTTGGAGTCAATCTCTCCTTTGCTCTGATAATATTTGCTTTATATATCTGGGTGCTCCACTGTTGGGTGCATATATATTTAGAATTGTTATATCCTCTTGCTGAATTGACCCATTTATCATTATATAATGGCCTTCTTTGTCTCTTTTTACCGTTTTTGTCTTTATCTGATAGTTTAGCTACTCCTGCTCTTTTTTTAGTTTCCATTTGCATGAAATGTCTGTTTCCATCCCTTTGTTTCCAGGTGAAGTGTATTTCTTGCAGACAACATGTAGTTGGCTTTTTTTTTTTTAATCCATTCAGCCACTCTGTCTTTTGATTGGAGAGTTTAGTTCATTCATGTTTTTTTTTTTTTTTAATTCATTTAGCCACTGTGTCTTTTGATTGGAGAGTTTAGTTCATTCACCTTCAATGTTGTTGATAGGAAAGGACTTACTAGTGCCATGTTGTTATTTGATTTCTGGTTGTTTTGTGGTCTTCCCTCCCTCCCTTCCTGTCTTCCTTTGTTGAAAGTGATTTACTCTGGCAGTGTGTTTCAGTTTCTTGCTGTTTATTTTTAGTGTATCTGTTGTAGGTTTTTTTGATTTGAGGTTATCATGAGGCTTGCAAAAATTCTATAACCAATTATTTTAAACATGACAACTCTGCTTACAAAGAAGCAAAGAGAAATCTAACAAAATTTCTATAATTTAACTCCATCCCCCTCCCCCCACTTTTTAACTTTTTGTTTCCATCCATATCTTTTTATTCTATCTCTCAAAATTGTTGTAGTTATTTTGGTAGATTTGTATTTTAGTCTTCCTTCTCAAGATATAAGTGGTTTATACATCACAATTATAGCAATGGAGTATTCTGCATTTGTGTCCTTACTGTTACTAGTGAGTTGTATACCTTCACATGATTTCTTATTGTTCATCAACATCCTTTTCCTTCAGATCGAAGAACTTCTTTTAGCACTTCTTGTAGGATGGGTCTGGTGTTGACGAAATCCATCAGCTTTTGTTTGTCTGGGAAAGTCTTTATTTATCCTTCATGTTTGAAGGATATTTTTGTAGGACATAGTATTCTATGGTTAAGTTTTTTTTTCCCCTTCAGCACTTTGAATATGTCATGCCACTCTCTCCTGGCCTATGAGGTTTCCACTCAGAAGTATGTGGCCAGCCATATTGGAGCTCCTTTGTTTGCTGTCTTTTTCTTTTTTCTTTCCTTAGGATCTTTTCTTTATCTGTAACTTTGGGAGGTTGATTATTAAGTGCCTCGAGGTAGTCTTGTTTGGGTTAAATCTGTTTGGTGTTCTGTGACCTTCTTATATCTGAATATTGATATCTTTCTTTAGGTTTGAAAAGTTGTGTTATTTCTTTGAATAAATTCTACCCCAATATCTCTCTTTACCTCCTCTTTAAGGTCCCAGTAACTCTTAGATTTGCCCTTTTGAGGCTATTTTCTAGATTTTGCAGTTATGCTTCATTATTATTTTTTCTTTTTTCTCTTGGAACTGTGTATTTTCAAATAGCCTGTCTTCAAGCTCACTAAGTCTTTCTTCTGCTTTGTCAATTCTGCTGTTGAGAGAGACTGATGTATTTCTCAGTTTGTCAGTCGAATTCTTAAGCTTGAAAATTTCTATTGATTTTTTTTTTTATTTCAATCTCTTTGTTAAATTTCTCTGATAGGCTTCTGAATTCCTTCTCTGTCTTGAAGTTCATAGCTTATTCAGAACAGTTATTTTGAATTCTTTGTCTGAAAGATCACATATCTCCATCACTCCAGGATTGGTCACTGGTACCTTTAATTCATTTTATGAGGTCATTTCTTGTATCTTTGATGCTTATGGATGTTTGTTGATGTCTGGTCATTGAAGAGTTAGGTATTTATTTTAATCTTTATATTCTGAGCTTGTTTCAATCGATCCTTCTTGAGATGCCT